TTCAAAACCTTTCTGATTTATGTGGTAGGAACCAAAAGGCAAGAAATAAACAGAACAGACTCCCCCAAAAAGAGGTAAAAAAGATTGAGCAGGATAGAGGCAGAGGGGAAAAATTGCAATTAGAGCTGGTGAAGTTGGACATAGTCTCTGGGAATGCTGTCTGGGATTCTGCACTGCTGGTAGGTGGGAAACTTTCCATTGCAGTTCAGATTTGTCTTGGGACAGCGATGACACAGAGAGAGAGTTGGGGTTTAGTTTTTGAAGCTGTAGAGAAATGCAGATGAATACGTGGATTGTATATTCAGCAGTGGAACCTGTGTGGACTGGCAGAAACAGGAGGATACGTAAAGAGCGGTGAATTAACTCTTCCAGTTGTTAGGGAAGTCACATTGCTGATGTTCATATGGAGAAACTACTCTTGGGTAGGCTTTCCATCCAGGAACAGACCTTCCAGCCTTGTCACGCTGGCTGTAGCTCCTTTGATGGGGTTTGTAACTGATGGATAATCTTCATAATGTAGTAGAAGGAAGGTCCAGCTGACCTTGTACAGCGGAATTTGGTAGAGCAAATTACTCCTGCTGTGGTTTCTGCAGTTTCTCACAGATGTTGCTGCTTTGGCATCCTGTGCTTGATACTCTAGGGCTGATACATCTACTGCTGGCTGATAGGGAGCTTTTGTTTGCTTTTACTATTTTATCTGTCTGAGAGAATTATTGTTTTAGGGCATTCTGAGATGGAGGGTCTTCCAAGTGAAGAGATAAGAGGATGTTTTCAGGGCGAAATGAAGGCAGTAAACTATAAAACTTGGAGATGGGGCTGAGACAGTGAGGAGGAAGGTGGAGCCAAGATATCAGCAGAAGTTATCCCAAGCATTAGCCTGCTGTGGGACTGGGCAACCTTCTTCTCCACCAGATGTCCAGGGAGAGCAGGGCAATATTTCATCTCCTGTAGGAGGGAGGTGGAGGCCACTGAACACTGCAGCTTGTGCTGTACTCATACAGGGAGGAGAACCACAGAAATGCCTACAAACCAGGAATTCCTTCATGCCTGGCTTTGGCCAAATGGTGGTATGGTGTCTGACCTTTTTTTCTCCTGAAATGCTGCAATGTTTATCTCAACCTTGCAGCCCAGCTTACGGCTGTCAGTGAAGACCAGCTAGCAGGTATCTACTGAGCTTTTGAGAAGGACAAATGTGTCCTCACAAGTAACTGTCCTCTCCAACAACGTGTATCCCCCAGAACCAGAGGTCTGACATTTTGTAGCCCCTCTGCTCGAGGGCTCCCTAGTAGCTTCCTTGGAGGATGGGGACCTTCCATTGTCCCTAGCGCTGGTGACAGCGCGGAGGAGATGTCGCCGCCCTAATGAGACCTGACAAATGGGCAACTGGGCTGCTGCTTGGGGAACTTAATGGTTAATTTCCATAGCGCCGTGTCAGGGCAAAGGGCAGGAAGAAGTAATCCTGCTGCAGAGCGGGGATGGGGGGATGCCTTTCCGTCTGAAAGGTGCTGGTGAAGCTGGAAAGATTGAGTTAACGAGGATTTCTGTGTCAGCGCCCCAGCCCTTTTATAAACAGACTGTATGATCTAAATACCATGTGACTATTTCCCCCAACTGCGGTCCCCTATCGGATTCAGAGCGGGCCATGCCATTTTCTATTAGGCTGGTGCGTGCACCCTGCTATGCAGGGGAGGCTACTGCAGCTGAAAAAGATAATTCAGAAGGAAAAAATAGGTGCCCCATACGCTGGAGAACCAGGCTCTTCTGCCAGCAGAGTTTATGGCTGCAGCAGCCAAAACATCATCAATAGCTCCTCAAAAAAAATGTTTTTCTACAATGTTTGGTGGCTTGGGCTGAAAGCCGTGAGCTGAGAGGGGCTTGTGAGCAAAATAAAAAGTCTTCATGCCCTTCATGAAGCTTCTTGGGGCCTACAGGCTTCATTAAAAGAAGCCGCGTTTGCAGAAAAATACCATTTTGCATGATCTTGGGGAAAAAAATTGAACTGAAAACAGTTTTTTGTTAAGTATCTGCAGGTTTTAAGGCAGTGCTTCTATATAGATATATTCCCTTCCTTTAAAAACAAAAAAATCAATTACATTTTATTTTTATGCGTGGGTGTAAAAACAGAGAATGATTGTGATGAACAGTAATTATTGAATACATCTGGTTTTATTCAAAATAGTTTTGGATACTTCACTCTCTGTGAAATACCAGTATTACCTTAAAACTCAGCGAATATTTTCTCGATAAGATGCAGGATATTTGTACATGTATTTTGCCCTCTGTGAAAGGCAGTACTGTGCGTACCCATGTGAACGTTAACTCAAAATATTTGTGAAATATTGAATATTTGGGTTTCTGACAGTAGGGATTGCTATCGTTGCAGAAGTATCTATTTTTATGCCAGCTATACGTGTATGAAATGGATGGGTAGAACATGTTTGGTGTGAAAAATCAGTGACTATAACAGTTTTTGGGTTTCTGACAGTAGGGATTGCTATCGATGCAGAAGTATCTATTTTTATGCTGGCTATACGTGTATGAAATTGATGGGTAGAACATGCTTGGTGTGAAAATCAGTGACTATAACAGGAGCAGGTGGTTTGTTCAATAAGGACTTTCTACATCAGTAACTGCCACAGTTCAACACAGTGGCCAGGCTGGCCTCGCTCCTCTTCCTCAGGATTGTTCTGAGCACAGAGGGGTTTTTATATTTTAATTCCTTGCCTGTAATTAGACCTGTTTCAAACACATACAAAAGAGAGGTGGGGAAGTGAATTCTATATATTCGTTTGTGGTTCTGGCGACTCATTTCAAGTGGTGCTGGCGATTAAGCTGCTGAATTCCAAGAGGCAGGATGTGAGTATTTTTAGTGTGCAGCTGGAGGGTTCCTGCCACCCTGGCAGGCAGGACTAACAGCCACTTGTCTTCTGAATCTGACGACTCGGCAAGTACTGACAGCCGCACGCGGGCCTTTGGAGATGGGCTGAGTAAGCACTTGGTCCATAAAAGGGAGCATGTGTGATAGAAGAAAAGCTGGTGTCCTCAGCTGGAAGACTTTGATCAGTGCTGTAAAGTGCTTTTTTGTGAATATAACGAGAAAACCCAACAAATTCTTTTCTTATCATACTTGGGAGGGATTCCTAGGGACACGGTTTAGTGGTGGAGCTGGCAGTGTTAGGGTCTTGATGATTTTAAGGATCTTTTCCAACCTGAACCATAGAATGGTTTGGGTTGGAAGGGACCTTAAAGAACATCTAGTTCCAACCCCCCTGCCCTGGGCAGGGACACCTCCCACTAGACCAGGTGGCTCCAAGCCCCCTCCAACCTGACCTTGAACCCCTCCAGGGATGGGGCAACCACAGCTTCTCTGGGCAACCTCTCACCACCCTCACAGCAAAGAAGTCCTTCCCCACATCTCATCTCAATCTCCCCTCTTGCAGTGTCAAACCCACCGAGGTGGGCTCCAGCTGGCTTTGCTGGGGGCTTCTCCTCCAGACCCTGCAGAGAGCCACTGGTCCCATGTCTTTCATCTTTCCTGTGGCCGGGAGAGGCTTGGTTTATTTCCTTTCTGCTTCTAATCAGGATTTCGTTTTCCCCTGGTTGCATTTGTGGACTGAACCCAATGGAAACTGGCATTTCCCTCTTTGTAAGGTTAAAACAACAAAGCTTAATGTACCACACTACGCGTTATCTGTTAACCTCACTATTTTTATGGATTTCACGGTGTTTTAATTAAAAAGGGTGTTTTCAGATAAGAGCCAAGGATAACGACAGCCCCCCTGATGGCCATTGGGCTCCTGGTCCTGTGTGGGTCTCCAGTGCAAGAAAAAACGTTTGGAGCCAGAGGTGGAAGGTTATATCCCTGCCCCTGGAACATCTTTCCTGAGAAAACAACAAAAAATTTGATTTATTAAATGACAGCTACCACGCTTTCAAAGCTGCTTAGGGAAATATCTGGGTATTGCAGGTCTCTTGGTCAGTCTGAGTGGAAAAATAAGCCCCAGCCCTGTGTGTGCTGGAGGGATGCCAGCGGCCAGGGGAAGCTGGTGGCTCCTGCCTGCCGCCTCCTCTCAGGGCTTTCCTGTCCCACTTGGTTTTGATACACGTTTTCATCATTTTTTAAGGAATTAGACTAATACGAGTTGTGTATTTAATGACGCATTAGCCTTGTCTGTTCCTGAGGGGCTCCAGAGCTGGGATTGGGGATGCTACTGGAAGCTGCTGGTTTTGGGACTACTTCACAAGTGGTACCACAGTGGGTATTATTTCTTAATTTCTTAAATTAGCTCCCTTCATGCAGATACGGGGGAAAAATATGCTGCATCATTTGTCAACAGTGTCACAGGAGCATGGATGAGGAAAATGCAATAGTCACTTTATGTTATTAACAGCTGAAAGCAGAGAGAACATGCAGCTCCTTGGTTTTCCTAAGATATGTGGAAGCTTCTGGTTTGCCAAAAAGATGTATTTTTGAAGGGTCTGAGCATGTGTTGGTGCGTGGGTATGGGAGACACATCACTGCTCCCCAGGACATCCCAATGGGTCTCCAGCTATCCCATTTCCTTTCTTCCCAGTCTAATTTCTGCACTTTTCCAATACTCTTTAAAAGAAGATATTAAATCCTGTTGTGGTGTGGTCTCCAAGGACTTTATCAATGTCTTACTGAGGTTTGTGCAAACAAATCTCCCACCAGTTAAATTGTACGTAGTGATGAACCCAACCGCCCTTCCCCTTGGCTTCCGTTTGACTGGGAGAGGGTTTGCCTCAGTCCTTTTCCCTGCTGGTGCCAGGGATGTGACTGAAGCCAAGACAAAGTAGCCACACGGTTGCCTCTTCCCATGGGAGGGATGCCAAGGGTTCATGGGATCATCATGGCTTTGGTGGGGTTGGGTGGAGGTGGTGGCTGGCCTCCTGGCGAGGTTGGATTGCTGTGGGCAGAGGTGGTGGCTGGGCTTCTGGTGGGTTTCCTCTTCTCACCCTTGTTCTCTGTTCTCACCCAGGTGGGGTTTTTTGGCCGCTGCATGAGTACGTCCTCACCGGGTGATGGCCTCACAGCCCACGCTGGCGTGGGTGCTGCTGCTCTGCCTGCTGGCCACCCTCCTGCCAGCCACCCAGCCCCGGGACTTCACCGTCAAGGACATCGTCTACCTCCACCCTTCCAGTAAGCCACCTTTGCGCGGGGGTAAGGACTGGGGGTGAATGTGTGTTAAGGCCGTGGAAACATGAAGGCTGAGCTCCAAGCTGAGCAAAGGTTTAATAAATATTCCCAGTACGGAATGATAGGGGTTGGAAGGGACTTCTGGAGATGATCTCATGATGAGATCATCTCATGATGCTGCTTCCCAAAGGGATTAAAGGGCAGATAGGGTTACAGACGATAGCTGAGTGTGTCAGGGGTGTTTTGTTCACTATTTTCTCCTCCTTGATTATTTCTGTGGCCATAAGACCAAGTCCTGTGGCCATGCACGATGTGCCCAAGCACATTGACAGCTGTGAGCAAGGGCCAAACGTGACCGTTTGCAGCCGTGGCACCAACTGCTCCTGACTTTATTTCAGTAACTCCCTGAAGCAACCCTATAACCTCTTCAGATCTCCCCTGGACTTTCACTGGTCTGTTTGCTTTGTCAGATACAAACTTATTTAATTCTAGAGGAAGGGAGCTGTGCCTGCCATGTGCTCCCAGTGAAAACTCCCCGCCTTTCCAAATTTGGCTGAAAAATGTATGTTTGTTACAAGCAAGATCAAATTCCTGGTTTATGCTGTAACCACGACCTATGACCTGGGGTAAATATAGGTATTAGGAAGAAATATAGATATTAGGAAGAAATTTTTTGTTGTGAGGGTGGCCCAGGTTGCCCAGAGAAGCTGTGGCTGCCCCATCCCTGGAGGGATTGAAGGCCAGGTTGAAGGGGGCTTGGAAGGTGTCCCTGCCCAGGGCAGGGGGTTAGAACTAGATGTTCTGTAAGGTCCCTTCCAACCCAAATCATTCTGTGATTCTATGAATTTATTACAGTTGTTGTATTGTCCCACTCCAAACTGTTCCTTGAGGGCAGCACCAGCCCCACCAGAGATGCTCCCAGGTTACTCACTGGTCCTTAACCAGAAGAACCTGGGGAAACAAGCAGTGAATGCCTCTTGCTTCAGCTCTCCTGCCCACACGGCATCTGGCCCAGAGCTGGTGGGCAAGGGGAGGAGGGGAAGAGGAGGGAGAGGTGAGATGTGGTCTGTGAGTCTGTGGAGGTTCAGCTTACTTCACCCCACAGAGATAAATGTGACCCGTTTGGCTTCTGAGAAGGTGGCAGCATCTTGGAGATGTATTGAATGTGCTACAGAAGCCCTGCCAGGAGACCACTTAAGAAGTCACGCACTTCGTTTGGCGAGATAAATTAGGACGGAGGCTGCTGTTAAAAACTGGAGGTTCAGCAAATTGATTTTTCTTTCCTTTGGGGACATCAGCCTGCCTTCAAAAGGGGCAGCTCCTTTCCTTGGTGGGACGGTTTCCAGAAGTACTTTAATCCATCTGATATTTTGTTATCAGCCCTGATAAAGTAGGAGTATTGGATGTGAGCTCTGATATGGAGAGAAAAAGCTCTCCCTGCTCACATTAACTCCCTTTGAAGGCAGCAGTGAGCATTTTTGCCTGGTAAACAGGGTTGAACTGAGTCCTAATTGTATCTGTGCCTTCCCCACGTCGCTTTTGGTGATAGGAATTTTTTACAGATCAGGCCCAACTTGATGAAGTGGGGCAGGCTTACTTGTGGAAAGACGTGTCTAAAGAGAACAAATGCTGCTGTGTACTGGATTAATTGGCTCATTTTAACCCAACGCTGTCTCTTCCTTTCAGCCACACCGTATCCGCACGGATTTAAATGTTTCACCTGCGAAAGGGCAGCAGATAATTACGAATGCAACCGGTGGGCTCCGGATGTCTATTGTCCCAGAGGTAACCAGCCACACGCTAGCGTTTAATTTAAACCCACCCTTATGACAACCTCTCGCTTATCCCCACCTCGGGGCCAGCACCAAGCCCCCGTTATTCCCTATGGAATTCCTACTCGGATCCTGGCGTTTGCTGCTCCCCCTTGTAAGCCTCCTCAACCAGAGAGATATGTAAGCGATACGAGTAATCCTTTAAGCTTTTCTGTCTCTTTGGGGTGGGTGAAGTTTAGGACTTTCATCTACTCGCCGTACTCCTCTCGCTCAGCTGGTAATTAAATCAGGCTGACATTTATTTAAGGGTTGTGTTTCTCTTACTGGTGGGTACAGGACCGGGTTCTCGCTTCGTTAGCTTCCCTCCCCCATGCCAAAAGCCCACGCCTCAGGGCAGCTGAGGCTGCTCTCTTTTTGGCTGGCATCGAGATATTTTCAGTATTTTTGGGGCTCTGATCTCCCATTGGAGTCTGAAGTTGGGAACAACTCAGAAAAGGCTTTGGGATACGGGCACCCAAATATCAGACCCAGGTACCAGTGAGATCCTCAGATCTCCCCCTCCCTTACTGCTTCTCTTTTTGAGACACTTAAAAGCATTAAGATGTCCACAGCCCCTGATGAAGCCGTGGACATGGGTTGAATGTGGACTGTATCCTCACCAGTGTGGAAACCACATGTGGGCAGGAGGCAGCCATCGTGGCTGCTGGGGCTGTGGAGGAGGAGGGATGCTGAGGGGGCAGAGGGATGCTGTGGGGGCACAGGGATGCTGCTGGGGCCATGTGGGGCAGAGGGACACTGCCAGTGCCAAGGGATGCTGAAGGGTCCATAGGGCAGAGGGATGCTGCCAGGATGAGGGGCAGAGGGATGCTTCTGGAGCCAAGAGATGCTGCAGGGGTCGTGGGGGCAGAGGGATGTTGCTGGGGCTGAAGGACAGAGGGATGCTGAAGAGGCAGAGGGATGCTGCCAGGACTCACCACTCCCCTGGTGCTTTCTGTAGGCTCAGCAGTGCTTGTGAAGCATCTATCTGGAACGTCTGTGGTCTGTTGTGGGACAAGTGCCCTCAGAAAATATTTATTTTGGAAAGAGAAGGACCATAACCTGCACTGCAGGGAGGAACCAGCTGTGTGCACAGCCTGTGTCAGAGCGCGTTATCTGTCCGAGAGTTTATTTGCTTTGAGCTCAAATCAGCACAACATCAACAACGATAAAAGGGATCAGGCTGGTTGGCATCAGATGAGACCGATGTTCGTGGACGCTCCCTGTTTTGACAGGAATAGGTGGCATTTAAATGACTAAGGGCTTTGTTACCTGTAGATTCCTGTGCAGGGAGCCAGGCGTGACTCCACCATCTGCCTTCAGTAACAGCCAGCAGAAATGACCTGGCCAAAAAAAATGTGCCTGTCTGGAAAGTTGGCACTTAGTGGCTGTTTAGGGGAGGGGAAACTGTGCTTTGGTGTGCCTGTGTCCATCCAGACCAGAGCTGCTCGTTATGGTCACCAGCCCTCCTGCTGCTGGTACAAGCACCCACTGTCCATGAAGTAAGGATGGGGTTTTAGCCATGAGAAGGGGCTGGCTGGAAATCTGAGTCTGCCCTTAATCTTCAGCCCAGAGGACTTCTCATCTCCTGAAACTGGTGGCATCTGATAATGTTTTACCCCAGGCAGGACTCGTTAGCACCCAGGCTAGGACACCAGGAAGGAGTAAGTGCTGAGCCAGCAGTCGCTGTGCTTCAGAGGAGCAGGGACCTGGGGAAGGGCACTGTGGCTTAAATGCTCCATCCTTACCCTGTTGCAGTGGAGACAAAGCTGATAAAGTTATTTCTCCCCACTCTGTAGAACTCAGCCATTGCTTCGGGGTGCCTCCTCACCCACGGCTTCAGTTGGTATCTCTTAGCTGTGCCTCCAACACGCTTCCACATCGGAAAGCATTTGTTAAACTGGCTTTTTTTTTTTTTAACTTTGTTGCTTTAACTTTCAAATGTGATTTTTATTTTTTTTTTTTGAGTTGGGTTAAGGAAGCCGCAGAAAGCAGCCTCAGGTTTGAGGTGTGACCCCAGGCAGTGCTCTGGGGGCTGGGGTTATCTGCTGGTTAATTACCTTATCTCTGGGAGACAGAGGAAGATGCTTGTGGCGTTGCCTCCCTCCCTGCAGCCATCCCAATCTGAACCCTTGCCGTTCCCCTTGGGTTAAGTGATGAGAGAAAACAAGGATACTCCATCCTGGTATTGGCCTCATTTCTTTTTTTTAAAACAGAATGCCATTAAAACGGCGCAAAACAAAGTATTTTCATTAACCGTAATGCAGGACTTAAAGGGAACCACCTTTTGTATATAACAAAATTAATTATGAGGGAGAGTAAAAACACAATTCCTGGTATTGAACCGAGATTAGAAAAAGCATTTCCTAGAAGTCAGGCCTCCTGCTGTGCATTAACCTTGTTTTCTGTTATTTATTAGCTTCAGCTGAAGCAGAAACTGTGTTAGTGATCTAATTTGTATGGAAATACTGCACTCAAAATGCTCCCAGTACTCTATTTAAGTACAGCCCGTGGGCAGGCTGACATCTCCATGATGGCCACCACCACCACGGTGATGTTCCAGCCACTGCAGGTGGCCCCCAAAAGCACCGTTAGAGGCTGCAGGTTGGGAAATGGGCCCTCAAAATTCAATGTGTGACTCTGGGCCCTTTGAAACACCAGGCTCAGTGTTTCCTTACCCAGTTTAAAACAGAGAGGAGAACTTTCTCCTTCTGGAGAGCAGCCTTGCTGGGTCTCAGTGTGCAGGGCTGGTTTGCTTACACTGAGCCTGGCTGTCTGTCTGCACCATGACTTCTGGTTTCAATAGCTGGTTTCTTCATTTGTGCTCCTTTTAAGGCTATAGGATGGTCCCCATGAGGTGGACCTCATGGAGAACGTGCGTTTCAGCTGTTGAGTGATGCTGCTGTAGGTCAGCAGGTCGAGACTGGGGCTGTCTATTGTATATGGGTGTTTGGAGATAACTCATAGCTGAAGCACATCATGCAGTCTTTGCATGAGAGTTCCACCAGAGGAAAGAAAAATGTAAAAGACAGAGACACTCTGGAAATGCAAAATTTAGGAAGCATAAATCCATGGTTTTTTGATACAATACCACCAAGAGCCTTCCTTACCCTGTGGCCATACAGCTTGCTGCCTGGCTTGGGCACCATCGTGCTTAGAAGCACCAGCTTCAAAGTCTTACTTGAATCCCTCTAAATCTCTCTGTTATTTTTTGGTAAATTATTTTATAGCGGTGGGCCTGTGTTCTTCATGGGGTCAGCTTAGAGTCCTTTTTCCATCCCTCTGGCTAGTAGCCTCCATGTCTGCAGAGCAGATAATGTCCCTCACTGTGGTGGTTTTCCTCACCTCTGCTTTGCTCTGAGCTTTTCCAGCACTTCTCATAGTGCCTTTTGTCCTAGAATCACAGAACTGCCTTGGTTGGAAAGGACCTTTAAGACCATTGAGTCCAACCATCAACCCAACACTGACAAACCCACCACTAAACAATATCTCCAAGCACCTCATCCGCCCAGCTTTTAAATACCTCCAGGGATGGCGACTCCACCACTGCCCTGGGCAGCCTCTTCCAAGGCTTGATAATCCTTTCATTGTAAAACTTTTTCTTAACGCCTCTTCCAAGGCTTGATAATCCTTTCAGTATAAAACTTTATCCATCCTAAACCTCCTCTGGTGCCATTTGAGGCAATTTCCTCTTGTCCTGTCGCCTGTTCCTTGGGAGAAGAGATTGAGCTTGGCCTTCTCTGAGAAGAGGGGCAGACCAGAATGCAGTGTAAAAATTAATATTAATCTGAGTGAGTGGATTTTATTACTTATTGTGGACTTACTCCCTAGCTGCAGCCCTGCCTTGCAGGAGATGATAGCCATCAGTGATGGCTGTACGAGAAGAGGTGTGCTAGGTCCCTCTGTGCAGGGCAAAATACATATTTCCAAGGTGATTGCACAATATTTTCTAAAAACACACTTGGAAGAAAGAATGAAACAGCCTCAAAAGAGTTATGGGGTGCTAGAAGCTTTACTTGTTCCATCTGGGACCTGTCAGGGGTGAGCTCCCCTGACAGGAGAAATGAAGCGATGAGCGCTTGGATTTGCTGGAGAAGGCACTTCCAGGGAAGGTCCCTGGAGAAGCTCATGATCATCATGCAGAGAGTGCTTCCCTTGGGGTGCAACTGCGAGATCTTCACCCCTTGGAGCAGGAGAGCCTGGAAAAGCCATCAAAAGCCCCGTGTTGGTCTGAAGGAAGACAGCACACCCAGGGTCTCCAGCCTCTGGTGATAAGTTGAGTCTGTTTGCTGTGGATATCACACTTAAGAGCGGGTCAAAGATACAGCAGATGTCTGAGGGGATTTATTGCCTAATAAATAATGTCTTCAGTCGTCAATCTTGCTCGGTTGCTGCTGAACACCTAAAACATGAGAAGTATGTGGGGCTTTGCCCATCGGAGACGAGGGCTGAACAGGAACATTCACTTTAAATTAATTACACTCCTTTTCTTTTTTTTTTTTTTTCTCCCTATGAAAGCAACAATTTTATTAATAATATGGTTGTTTAATGAGAAGCAAGGTATAATTTAGAGAAGAAATACCTAATGGCATGTTTCCTGTGTTGAAAATCCAGTGTTTTCACCTTGGAGTGGTAGGAAGCGCCTTCAGCTTCCCCCTGATGACTAAAGCATGAAATAATCCCAAATTCCTTCAAGGCTGAGGGTAACCACAGTGTTTGTCAGTCGCTCTGCTTTGAATTTTCCGTGCTTTTTGCAGGTGTCACTAGAGGAGTAGCTTAAAGAAGGAGGAGGATGAGGGTGAGGATGGTCTCCTTTGGGGAGGAGGAAGCCCACAGGAGAAGTGTGCAGAAGATGTGATGGGAATGTTGGGGACACAGTCCCTTTCATGGTGCATTTTCCCAAAGACTGAGAAACTGAGGAACACATAAATCAGCCCAAACATTCTGCTGGTGGTTTTGGCATGATAAAACTGAGGGACAGGGAAGGTGAAGGATCCTCCCTGGGCTCAGCAGGAGCTTTGGGAGAGCCGGGGTCGGAGCACGAGCAGTGAGAACAGCTTGTGCACAGTGTTAGGATAGAGGGAAAGATGTCTCCAATGTGTAATGATTTAGGTAAGTCTACAGAATTAATGGTTGTGCAGAAAGCTAGGAAAAAAATTAAACCTATAGAAACAAAGCTTAGCTTCGGACATAAGCAGGTATTGCAAATGTTTTCTTTTTTAAAGACCATTCTTGTAAAATTTAGCTGTAAATTTAACGCTAAATCTCCATGTTCCGGAGTGCTCTGAAACCAGAGCTTGGGGAATGTGTGACATATATGTATTGCAATAAATAACATTAGAATTCTCTTTTTTTTAAAGCCCAAGGTTTAAAAAATATCTAAGCCCCCTTTCCTATTCCTTCCTGAGCTTGGGGAATGTGTGACATATATGTATTTCAATAAATGACATTAGAATTATCTTTTTTTTAAAGCCCAAGATTTTAAAAAAATATCTAAGACCCCTTTCCTATTCCTTCCCATTTGTTAGACTATCACAAAATTCGAATTTGACAGGTAAACACATTTTTCTGTCTTTCTAGGTACAAGATACTGCTTTAGCCAACACCTGATGAAAGTTACTGGAGAGAGTGTGTCCGTCACCAAGCGCTGTGTACCATTAGAGGACTGTCTGTCTACAGGATGCACCTACGTAAAGCATGAAGAATACAAGGTATAGCATTACAATTTTTCCCTTTTTTTATGAATATGAAAACTGGGCAGAAACCTTCTGGCCTCCACCAGAAGTCTGACTGGTTCAGTGGGTAAATCAGCATCGTCAAAAAATCAAGTTTCTCTTCTAAACGAGTTCCAGCTCATTTCCATTTGTTACAGAAACAAAGGCATAACCTTTACCAGAACAAAAGAATAATCTCTTTAAATAACCTTCCTGCCAAAAGCTCAGGGGAGCAAACCACTCCCTTCTCCCTTTTCCTGCAGAACTTCTCTGGGCTTGGTCCCCTCAGCTCTGCAGTGGATGCTCGCCCACTGACTCGTGGTTTTTTTACCAAAGCAGGATGGGGGAAAGCCCCAAAACCTTTGAAGCAAACGTTTGATATCTGAATCCAACAGTTACTTAAAAATAAGATTTTTTTTTTCTGAAGGTTAATAGCTGGCCTTTTTGAAATCCTCCAATAGGTTAAAACCAAAGAGCTTGCTGAGCTGCCAGGAACACCACAGCCCCATCTGGGTTTTGCACAGAATTTTATGCTCTCCTGGCCTTGGGCACTTACTCTTGATTTTCTAAACCTGTGTGCTCTGGCAGGGAACTGTCACAAGCTCTTCCTCACCCCAAGGATGTCCTTTGGGCTGGCACACGGATTGTCTTATCACTCCGCACTAAGTGACAGGCACCCAAAGACCCCTATATGAATAGATACTAATTTGTTGGAGTTGAACTGCGAGCTCTACTTCAACCAAACAACAGTGGTTTTCATCGGTTTACTTATTTGGGGTAAAAACATAGAATCATAGAACCATTGAATTGACGTGGTTGGAAGGGACCTTTCAGATCATTGAGTCCAACCATCAACCCAACACTGACAAAACCACCTCTAAACTGTATCTCCAAGCACCACGTCTGTCCTTAAACCATATCTCCAAGCACCACGTCTGCCCTTCTTTTAAATTCATCCAGGGATGGTGACTCCACCACTTCCTTGGGCAGCCTCTTCCAAGGCGTGATAACCCTTTCAGTGTAAAAATTTTTCCCAATATCCATCCTAAACCTCCCCTGGGCAACTTGAGGTCATTTTCTCTTGTCCTAAATTTAATAACCTCTTCAAAATAGATGTGTCTTCTTTGCGTAAGCCAACGTGCTGTTCCTGTACATGTGAAATTGTTCTCCAAGTAGATGGATTTTAAAAAAATAATAGGAGGAGGAAAAAAAATCAGGTTTAAAAAAATAATAGGAGGAGGAAAAAAAAGGGGAAAAAAAAAATCAGACTGGCCACTGTGCTTCTTTGCAAATGTCTTATTATTTTCCTACCTCTTTATTCAGTGGTATTGGTGCTTTTCAAATAGAATCATAGAATGGTTTGGGTTGGAAGGGACCTTAAAGACCACCCAGTGCCACCCCCTGCCCTGGGCAGGGACACCTCCCACCACACCAGGTTGCTCCAAGCCCCCTCCAAACCTGGTCTTGAACCCCTCCAAGGATGGGGAAGCCACAGCTTCTTTGGGCAATAAAACCAAGTTATAAATAACCCTGTTTCTTTCAGATCTGCACCTCCTGCTGCGAAGGAAGCATCTGCAACTTGCCCCTGCCAAGGAACACGACAGATGCCATCTTCACAACCCTCTCTCCCCTCAACAAAACGCAGAGGCTCCCGCATCCCGCCCTGCTCACCACCGCCTGCCTCTGGCTGGGGCTGGTGTCCCAGCACTGGGTGACACTGCCACGTGTGGTGGCTCCAGAGAGCTGAGGTGGCCTGAGAACACCTTCAACATCTCCATGCGGAGCCTGCGCTTTGGAGTTGTCTCCTAAAAGACTGGTTTTCCACCTTATTTTTTGTTAGCGATGAACCAGTGAATCTGGGATGTAGACTCATCCGAAGGGGGTAAGACCATCACGTGGTTTCTCAACTCTTTTCTGAAGAAACCCATGCAAAACGTTCCCAGAATCCACTGCAGAGACTGATACACACACTTTTCTTAATTCCTCTCTTTTCTCTGTGAAGAAATGTTATTTAAAAGTACTATGTCACTGCCAGCTGCTATTATCATCGCTTACGCTTCTGACATTTTCTTATTATAATTCGTCACAGCACTAACGCCGGTGTCTCGTTAACCTCTTTGGAGACCACAGGGTAAATAATATGTAGTGGGTAAGTCTTTGCAGCCTCCCCACATCTCCTCCTCCTGCAGAGTGCAGTAGTTTGCAGCAAAGCAGCTGGAGCTGGAAGGGATGAGGTCAAAGAAGCAGCAGAAGCTCGGACCAGGCCAGCATCGTGCCCAGATGCTTCCTCTGAGGTTGCCCACAAGCAGCATGAAGAGCCACCCCCATGACAACACACACTGGAACGGGCAGAAAAACCACTTTGGTTTATCAACTGAACCAGAAGAACTCTAAAAACTCTGTTCCTGTTGCGTGTTTAGAGGAGGAGCTGGGTGTGTGGTCCCTGACCCTGTCCCAAGAGGAGAACTGGTGGGTGTCCAGGTTGGGATGTTGGTGCCTCCCAAGCCAACAGGTTCCTGGTGTTTTGGAGGCTTTAGTTATTTTTACATTTTCGGCACCCAGTCCTACAGCATGAGGGTGATTTGATCCCAAATAGCTTCTCATATTTTATTTAATGCACTCCCCTTACGTATGGGCTGTTCGGAGTACGGACCATTGCCAGCTACAGCTGATTTTGGTGACCTGTGTTGCTTGTTTTGCTCGGAAATCACATATGCAATATTTATTTTTGTACATTGAGTAGGATCTAAAGCGTTTAAAAGATTCTTAAAACTGATATTGCTGGGCAAAATGGTTGTTTTGCAAATAGGTAAGACTGTAATATATAAGTTATCATAAATATATATATATATAATGGTTTGCATCGCTATTGAAAAAGCATCAGCTTTGTTTTGCAAGGTCAGTAATAAAAGCAGGGTGTCCATGGACTTGTTTTAAAGTTAAACCAACCCTTTTTTATAATTTTAGGTTGTTTTTTTTTTAAATTTGTTCTTTTATGAGTTAATTTTTGGCTAGTCATGCTCCAAGGGAACCTGAGCCTTATCTTGTCAACAGTATGGTTATGGTCTGCGGTGCTTTGAGAGGGCTCCTGGAAGGTCCCAGCAAGCTCCCATCTGGCAGCATCTGTGTTGGATACCGTTAAGAGCTGGAAAAACCACAGATCTTGAGCACACAAGGTGCTGTCTTGAGTTTTGGGGCCTTTGGAGTGAACTCTGCTTCGGAGTTTCACTGGCAGCAGAGGAGGACCGAGAGCAAGGCTCACTCATGATTCAGTTTCAGGTGACTTCTCTGGGGAAGGAAAACACTGGAAGCCTCGCTGTGCTGTGCTCAGTGATGTTTTTTCAATATATATATATATATTTCACTGTGAAAACTGAACATCAAACACTGTTTCTTTTCTTTTTTTTTAAACTTTTTATATAAAAACTAATATTTTTGAGGACAGGCTAGCTGAACTCATGCCCAAACCTTGCATTTTGATGTCCTTTCAGCTCTCCTGTGACTTGCTCACAGATAGCTGGTGTTACGAGGGTAGTTGCAATCTGTTATTTTTATGCAAGTCAGACCTATCTCTGGAGACCTTGGGGGAAAAAAAAAAATCAACCTTGTGGTCTTCCTAAAGCCTGTCCCTCCTCCTCTGCTACCTGGCTCCAGCAGAGCTGTGTGAGGTACTTGCTCTGTATGGGTTGGAGGGCAATGAGGTGGAGGGGGTTATGGCTTCTCCAGCAGCAATTTAAATATTTATTATTATTATTATTTTCCTGTGAAATGGAAGAGTTTAAGTCTGGATGGATCTCGCTGAGTGGTTTAGCTCCTCTCCTGGGCTGGGGGTTAAACAGGTTTTCTGGAAAGCAGGGCTAGATGCAGGACATGTGCCTTGAGAACCTGCGTTGGAAAGCTAATGGGATGTGAACATGTGCATTTAGGAGTCATAGAATCACAGAATGGTTTGAGTTGGAAGGGACCTTAAAGACCATCTAGTTCCAACTCCTGCCCTGGGCAGGGACACCTCCCACCGGACCAGGTTGCTCCAAGCCCCTTCCAACCTGGCTTTGAACCCCTTCAGAGATGGGGAAGCCACAGCTTCTCTGGGCAACCTGGGCCTTTTTTGGGTACCTGGTAGCGCTCTTCACCCACAGAGACCTGGATGCTACTCCTCAAATTTAGTTATGGCTGTTCCATTAAGCCAAGCTGGTTATTTCTATTATCTTTGTATCCAGCAGAAGGAAAAAGTGCTATTTCAAGGGCTGATTCATTGTATGCTGAGGTGGATGGTTACATTCTGCCCATCACCACCTTCGCTCTGACCACGATGTTGGTGCAGATGGTGAAAGTCCCAGTTCTTGAGCTGTGCTGGTCCCTCTCCCCCAACACTGTGCCCTTCAAAAGGGACCTGAGCCCTGTCCAATGGGGCTGCTGTCTCCGGGAGGAGGAACGTGGACATTGAGCTTAAAAGAGCAAATTAAGGTGACAGCCCAAGAGAGGAACCAGCACAGCATCCCCCCCTCCCCATGCCTGGGCTGCCCGTGGAGCTGCTGGGGTTTTTTAAAAGCACATAGATGCTGAGCTGCACCGTATTTATATATACATATATGTGATATTTGTTTTAAATCTCTAATTTTTTTTTTAACTATTGTAAATGCTGTACATTTGTATAAATAAATGTTTTAAATATTGAGATGGTGTGAGGTGTCTGATAACCATGTACAATTGCCATCACCATCCCTGCTCTTTGATGTGGTGCCACCCCCTGTGCTGGGACACTGCTGTCTGCTCCCCTGTCCCCCTTTTCCTTTCTCCGGTGCCCTACTAGCCAAAAAAAAACCCCAAACCAACCAAAAAGCCCCCTGAAAAAAGCTGTATTTAGAACATTTTGGTTTAACTCCCACCATAGTTAATGAATCTTTCCCATGGTTTTCTCCTATCGAGCTCCCATGGTTATTTGTTGCAAATTGGTTTATATTGGGTGTTTAAATAAAATAAGCCTGAGGATGTTCCTGTTTAGTTTGTGACACCCAGATCTTCCTTTCCCTCCTCTGCTCTGGGAAAGCTTTACGTTTTCCATAACCGTGCTGCCACACTAACTTGCTCCCAGTGCATTCTGCACTCATTTCTAATTTCCACTCCTGAAAGCAACACTCATTTGGATGTCAACAACTTCATTTAGCTAATGAAAGGCTTTGGACAGAGATATTTATGGGTAACACGAAGAAGGTATAAGCCAAAAAAAAATTATAAGGAGATACATAAGTTAAAGATATAAAAACCACAGCTGTATTATAGGATATTCTGACAGTTCTCTCTTTTTCCCCTTATGCTAAGTGTACAGAAGGGAATTTTCTTGTTTTTCCTGAGTCCTGATAAAGGTTCTTCCATCCCAGTAACCTCTTCAGCAGTGGGAAAGACTGAGCCAAGGCCCGCTGTATTATAGGATATTCTGACAGTTCTCTTTTTCCCCTTATGCTAAGCGTACAGAAGGGAATTTACTTGTTTTTCCTGAGTTCTGATAAAGGTTGTTCCATCCCAGTAACCTCTTCAGCAGTAGGAAAGACTGAGCCAAGGCCTTCCTGGCCCCAGGAGGTGAAGATAAAGCAAGGGCAAAAAAAATAATAAATTGATGTTTGCAAGGGTATAATAATAGGAAAACAGTATTGATGGGGAGTAAAACATGCAAAAATATAGTCCCAAAATAGGTTTCTCTCTGGAAGTTCAGCATTTGGTGCACCTTTGGCTTACAAATGTGCCTTGAGGGATGAGACTATGTCATCCCACTTCAAGAGGTGTCTCTGGAAACACCAGTCCCTGCTCAGGGCCAGGGACACAATAGTCCCTGGGCACGCAGCACTTCTTGAGCTCAGTGCTTCAATCACTGATTTTCGGCGTCACAGCACCATGAGCAGAAGGCAGATGGTGCCTGACAAACACTTTGCCTTCATTTCTGCAAAGCAGTTGAATTAATTGTCAGTAAAGACAATGCAGCTTGATTGACTAGCTCTTTTCCTCCCCTTAAACAACACCAGACACAGCCTTCGCCTGCTTTTGGGGGCATCAAGCAGCCCAGCAGGGCTTTCAGCAACCCATTTAATGCAAAACTTCTGCCCTGCAGCACCTAAAGTGATGCTGAACCTCCTGTAATCACCAACAATTTTTTGAGACCCAGGAACCTCTTCTCCATTGCCAGCCAGAATCCAACACAGTCAAAAAAAAAAACAACCACACACACACACAAAAAAAAAACAACAAAAAAACCAAACCCACAAACAGTTTGGACTAACTGGCACAGCAAAGCTTCTGAGAGCATTTTCTCCTCCCTCCCCCTTAAAAAGGCTCAACAAACCAGTAACTGTTATGTCCCAAAGAGCCTCATTGACACCTGGAGGTTCCCATATGTTCCCTCTCCAAGCTGGGGAGAGGACTCCATGTCACAACTTGCTCCTTCCACCAAGAAACCACCAATAAGTTCAACTCTGACTCTGGTAAATGATCTCACTATACCTACACGTAGCTAGTAGGAGAGGAAATTGAAAACGTACTTAAAATATGCATAATCAATAGCAAGTGTGAGTTAACTCTCATGATCTGAAGGTGCAAATCTTGGCAATGGCAATGCCCAAAGTGGTATCAATTCAGATAGGAAGATAGGAACCATCCCTCTGAATCCTGGTCCACCCCAGGTGCAGGTCAAAATGGGCTTCCAATTTTTGTTGCCAACCTCATCAGACCATTTGATTGGTTCTTGTACCCATGTCTCTTTGCTCCTCTCCGAGTAAGATTCGCCTTGACATGAATCCCAAAGTCCACCTGGATTCCTAACCCAACTATCAGCCACCCATTGCCCAGGTTGATCCAATAATGTCATTCCATTAGTATTGACATGATGTATTTGAAAGCATTTTAAATATATCTCTTTCAACTCGCGTGTATATAGAGGGTTTAAGGTTTCTTATCCCTTTTTTAAGATTTCATCAGCTTTTAGACAGCTACCATTCACACATTTCAGCACACGGAGCTCAACCCTACAAGTCTTAGACTAAAAAAAAAAAAAATAGCAGGGTATCTTCAAGGTGATGGAGCCTATTCAAAAGAAAGGCAAACAAACCCAACGTGGGGCTGAGGACACTGGAAAAACAAAGTAAGTGATATCAAGCTGTCAAAAAAACCAACCTTCCAGAGGTTTTTAAGCTGAGAAAAGCAGCCTGAAAGAGCCAGATTTACTGATTGTTTATAAACACTTCACTACTCTCCAATGTAAAACTGAGACAGCTTTTAGCTGGGCTGCAGCTGTGTCTGTCAAGCTCTACTGAAGACAGGCTAAACCTCAACAACTTGTCAGCCCGCGTGTGTTAGAAATTACTGACCCCACCTTCCTACCCAAAAAGTGTTGATTTAGGACCATGGCAAGGGGCTGCAGGCCAATATTTGAAGTAGGTAACTATTTTAAAGGGGTAACTTAGTTCTTTCCTGTAAAAATGCAAGTAACCCTCCTGCTGTGAGCCATGCAGTGTATCCTGACAAAGCTAGGTAACTATTTTAAAGGGGTAACTTAGTTTTTTTCCTGTAAAAATTCAAGTAATCCTCCAGCTGTGAGCCATGCAGTGTATCCCGACAAAAACAAAGAAAAAAGCAGCACCTAAAGCCCATGGCAGGTGTCAGAAGAACAGAAGAACATGTGGGTGATGTTGCTGACACTGTAGAGAACCACCTGGGATGGGTATTTTTTACTGCTCAACCTCAACTAATGTCTTAGCAACCTGAGCACACAGTAGGGGACAACACACGTGGTCATACATGGCTTTTTTTACAATCGAAATGATGGTTTGTCACCCAAAGACATCCTACTAACCAAAATTCTGATAGGCTGAGAGAATTGGGGGGTTCAGCCTGGAGAAGAGAAGGCTCCAGGGAGACCTTGGAGCCCCTTCCAGTCCCTCAAGGGGCTCCAGGAAAGCTGGGGAGGGACTCTGGATCAGGGAGGGGAGCCCTAGGAGGAGGGGGAAGGGTTTGACCCTGAAAGAGGGGAGATGGAGCTGAGATGTGGGGAAGAAGTTCTTTGGTGTGAGGGTGGTGAGAGCCTGGCCCAGGTTGCCCCGAGAAGCTGTGGCTGCCCCATCCCTGGAGGGGTTGAAGGGCAGGTTGGAGGGGGCTTGGAGCAACCTGGTGTGGTGGGAGGTGTCCCTGCCCAGGGCACAGGTTGGAAGTCAATGTTCTTTAAGATCCTTCCAACCCAAACCGTTCTAGGATTCTGAGTTTTCCCCAGGGGAAATATATTCCAAAAAGTTCATTTCCGAACATTTTCTACCAGTCACTGTCTCTCTCTCAGACGTAAAACCCTCCCCAAAGCCCAGCCCTCAGCCTGCATTTGCTTTTCTCAAAGCTTTCCCCATCTGCCAGACGCTGTGGTTTTAGCGGTGGAGATTACTTTCCCGGTGAAGCGTAACACCCAGCTGCATGAAATTTCAGTCTCCTAATCCTGTTAGGGGTTTCCCCCCCCCTCCTCAGCCTCCGCACCGAGGAGACCTTTGTGTTTGTGCAGCTCCCGAAATCGCAGCCCGAGCTCTCCCGAAAAATAACCAACCCCAGCCCTAAAGCCACAATTGCCATTACCAAGGTGAAGGGCTACTATTTTAAAGACACCACAGCAGCCCGTGGAAGATAAAAGCCACAAGTCTGTTTGCAACTATTATTTAGTCCCAGGTTTTTTTATGTGGATTGGCAGATTTAGGTGCTGGCCTCAATGCTCTACCACCAGCTTTTGGCTTTTCTCCAGTTAAGACCATGGTTTCATTCCTTAATGGACTATGGTGGGATACTTCTCAAGAGGAAAAAGAACCAAATTTCTTTCTTATCCTCACCATGGGCATTAGCGTGTAGCAGAATACCTCCCTCATTCAGGGCAAGAGGAAATGGGCACAAACTTGGCCATAAGAAGTTCCACCTAAACATGAGGAGGAACTTCTTTGCTGTGAGGGTGGCAGAGCCCTGGCAGAGGCTGCCCAGAGAGGTGGTGGAGTCTCCTTCTCTGGAGACATTCAAACCCACCTGGACACGTTCCTGTGGGACCTGCTCTGGGTGGACCTGCTCTGGCAGGGGGGTTGGAGGAGATGATCTCCAGAGGTCCCTTCCAACCCCATGTGATTCTGTGATTACACTAGAAATTTGGGAATAATAGATGCTTTTTCAGTTAAGTTTTCATTTCTTTCAACAGGTTTTCAGAACCTTTTTTTTTTTTTTTTTTGAGGAAAAGGAGGGAGCAGGGATAGAAGGGGGTAATTTCACTGACATTTTGCTCCTCGATGAAATCACAGAATCATCATCAAATGACATCAAAATGACATCAAAATGACATCAATGACTCAAAGACATCAACATTGGGCATCTTTTCAGACTCCCAGGGCAGGGCCTTCCAACCCCATGTGATTCTGTGATTACACTAGAAATTTGGGAATAATAGATGCTTTTTCAGTTAAGTTTTCATTTCTTTCAACAGGTTTTCAGAACCTTTTTTTTTTTTTTTTTTGAGGAAAAGGAGGGAGCAGGGATGGAAGGGGGTAATTTCACTGACATTTTGCTCCTCGATGAAATCACAGAATCATCATCAA